GAACTGTGAATGACTAACAGATAAACATGTTCTGCTGTGTTTAGGGAAGACTGATCAGAAAGGGCTTCCTGGAAGAGGGAGCACTGAAGTTGCTATCACTGTGCTTCATACTACCATCTTCTCCCACCCAGACCACAATAACAGTGTCTCTGTTTCTCTCCCTCATATTCTCTCTCTCTCTGTCTCTGTCTCTCTCCCCCCCCCACCTCTCTTAGTGCTGGGGACCTACCACTGAGCCACACCAGCAGCCTAACAGTTTCTTAACTGGTCTCCAAACCTCTACTCCCATCTTTTCACCAGCATTCTACTCACAACATGATCTTTCCAAATGTAAAGCAGGTATCACCTCTGCTTAGAATTCACTCTAGCTTCCTATTGTTCGCAGAGCAAGGTAAGCATCTTAGGTTTTACTCTATGAGGTCCTACATCTGGGTGGACCCTACTTCCCTCTCAGAGGTCCAGACTCTGCCCTCTGAGATGAGTCATGCTGACCTCTCAGTTCTTTAAACCCTCTAAGTTCATAACCCCTGCTTTGGGGCATGTTCTTTATCTTATCACTTCTCCGCATTTTGGCTAAGATCAAGTGTTAGTAATGTCCATGTCACCTCCCAGAGTGATCCTCACCCCAGAACATAATGTCCTTGGAGACAGAGACTGCTTGTCTTGTTCACCAATGTGTTCTTAGCACCTATGACACTACAGTGTGCTCAATAAATATTTGTTGACTAAAAGAATAAAAGTTGAATCCCAGAAATGGCAAGGTTGCAGAATATGGTGGCACACACTTGTAATCCCAGATACTCCAGAGGCTGAGGCAGGAGGATCCCACATTCAAGGCCAGGGTGGGCAACTTAGTGAGATCCTGTCTCAAAATTTTAAAAAGGGCTGGGTATGTAGCTCAGAGGCAGAATGTTCCTAAGTTCAATCACCAGTATCAGCCCCCAACACACACACAAAAAAAAAAAAAAGAGAGAGAGAGAGAGAGAAAAGAAGTGGCAAGCATTCCAACATAAGGACTTCATGAATACAGAACACCTTTGGCTGGATCCTGGAGGGTGAGGAAGAGTGTGTCTGGGCAGAGTCCAGGCTGTTCCCTCACCCCTCATTTCCTATCCTTTTCTTGACCCCACATGCCAGTTTCAACGAGACTTTCCAGTTTCTGTTCTGGACCATGTTTGGCATGGAGGAGCACAGTGTGGTGGACATGCCTCAGTTTCTGGTGCCTGAATTTGTGGGCCGGGCCCTCTATGGCATTTTTACCATTGTCATGGTCATTGTGCTGCTCAACATGCTCATTGCCATGATCACCAACTCCTTCCAGAAGATCGAGGTGCGTGAACCAAGGTCAACCTAAGCTAGTTAGAAGAAGGGAGAAAGGATGGAGAGGAGCAGGTGCAAGGAGTTAAGACACTTGTGTTCCTGCTCTGCCTTCTCTGTGGTCTTGTTTGTGGCTCTGGATAAATTCTCCTCTGAAAAATGAAGGTCCCGGTAATGCTGTTAGTGTCTCTAGACATCAAGTCTAGTGCTCTTTCCTCTTTCCGTCAGGGGGAGGAGTGCATTGTGGAAAAGTAGTTGGGAACATGAGAAGAGAGAGGCAAGGGAGGGGAAGGGTTATGGTTTGCATGCTGGAGAACAGGCTGGGCAGGATCAAGATGTGAGGATGAGAGATAATGGGGAGGGAGAGAGGAAAGGTGGAGACAGGCAGGGGAGAGGTGGGTGTCGGAGGAGTTGGAAGACAGAATGGGGAGAATGGTTGACACACTGGGGAGTAAGAGATGTGAGGACTGAGGGAGAAGGCCGATTCATTGAGCAGGAGAGCCAGGTGCTAACCTGGTCCTTCACAGTCCCTTGCCTCCTGGCCTCCAGGATGATGCTGACGTGGAGTGGAAGTTTGCTCGCTCTAAGCTCTACCTATCCTATTTCCGAGAGGGCCTGACTCTGCCTGTGCCCTTCAACATCCTGCCCTCCCCCAAGGCCTTCTTCTACCTTCTCAGGTGATGACCTCAGAGCTCTCACCCCAACCCCTGAGCACCCAGCCCCCACACATTACCCAGCTCCTTACCCCATTTCTTTTTCTTTTCTTTCTTTTTTATTTTTTGTTGTTGTATTGGGCCCTGTACATGTTAGGAAAGTACTCTACTACTGAGTCACATCCCCAGACCTCCTGCCCTCATTTCCCTAGAACTGTTCTGTAACTAACCTCTTTCCACCATTGAAATTTCTCAGGAGAATTTTCCAGTTTATTTGCTGTTGCTGCTCCTGCTGCAAAACCAAGAAGCCAGACTATCCCCCAATCCCCACTTATGTGAGTACCTCATCTACTTATTGGCCCTCTCACACCAGGCTTCAACTGTATACCATCCATTTGTGTGCACATCTCTGGCATAGCTATCCTTCCAGCTATGTTCCCAGAACATCCTTTTCCCTCTTCTTGGCTCTGGTCATTTCCTAAATTCCCAGTGCTGTGTTATACAATGTGAACAGAAGTTCATGCCACCCTCCTCCCAAGCTACAGATACTTCAAACTGGGCCAAGATGTGGCTGAATGTTTTTCAGAAATATTTTAAGAAGCCAAGGGTAAATTTGTCCAACCAACTAGGAAATTATCAGGCTGACAGAGACCTGGGAGAGGAAGGTGGGCATCCAGGGGGCTCACTTACTCTGCTTTTCTGTACCCTAACCTGGTCTAGTTGGGCACGACAGCCCCTTCATGTTACTGCCATGTCTTTTGGGGGTTCTCCTATCTCTCCTCTACCTCCTTGCCTTTGCTTCCACCCACTACCATGGGCCTCTCGTAGTCGACCCTTCCCTAGCTTCTGGCCCCGATCCTTCTCACTTTTAGGACTCCACTGTGAAGTGGAGGCAGACCAGGTCTAGGTGTGTGGCCTATAGGGACAAAGAAGTCTGCACAAACTTTGACTTGGTCCTTTATTGCTGGGGTGGCACAGTGATTAGAGGAAGGCTGAGGGTAGAGAAATCTCTCTCACCTTCCTGTCTTCCCATTCCAGGCCAACCAGGGGGCAGGGGCAGGGCCTGGGCCTGGGGAGGGAGAGCGTGGGTCCTACCGCCTTCGTGTCATCAAGGCTCTGGTACAGCGCTACATAGAGACTGCCCGGCGCGAGTTTGAGGAGACACGTCGGAAAGGTTAGTGGTCAGCCTCCAAGCTTTCCCCACCCCTGTTTCTTGCTCATCACCCCTCATTCAGCCTGCATGGTATGTGGCCCCACCCTACACTTGGAAACCACAACCTGCACAATATTTGCCCCTTGCACTGAATTACCCCCTGACCCATTCAGGCACTTAGGCCATCGTTTCATTTAATCACCTAGCCCTTTTATTCACCTGTTCATTTATTCACTCATTCACTTACTTACGTATTCAACCTGTGATTGTTGCTGTGTCCTCCCTTGTTCTAGGCTTGTCTTGAAGGGAGGGGCACTGTATACAGCAGGCATACAAGGGAAGCTTTCAGTATGGGGAGAAGCCATCATACTAGGTGGAAAGAGAGACACAGATTGCACTGGGAACCCAAAGGACAGAAAAAGCCTATTGTTTTGAGAGGGAGAAGTTGGAGAAAAGGCAGGTAGAATTTGAACTAAACCTGAAGGACAGGAATGAGCTAGCCAGGTGTAGATTGGGGAGAGGGCTGTTGGGGCAGATGTACAAATCCCTACCAATTAAAATTTCTCCCCATGAGTCATCTTGCCTTTTCTGACCCACAAGATCTTCCTTCTTTATAGCTCTAAAGCAGCCACCCTCCACCACTACTTAGCTTCATCTACCTCAGATTCTGTCCACTCACTGACCCACTGACCCCTCAGTTCTTCCAGTCCTGGGTCCTCAGGAATCTCAGACAAGGTGTCCCCTGGGGTTCTGTTGAGGGCAGAAGAAATACTGAGTAGGCTCATCTTCTGAAAAACATCCCTCTCAATGTTCCACCTCTCAGACCTGGGCAACCGACTGACAGAGTTAACCAAAACTGTGTCTCGACTACAAAGCGAGGTTGCTGGTGTTCGTCGAAACTTGGCAGCAGGAGGGATGCCCCGGCCTCCTGATGGTGCCAGCATCCTCAGTCGCTATATCACCCGAGTGCGCAACAGCTTTCAAAACCTGGGGCCTCCCATCTCTGAGACCCCAGAGCTGACCATGTCAGGAACTGTGGGGATCCAAGACTCTTTGGAAACTGGGCTTCAGACTGCTGAAGAGGCTGGGGCTCCAGCTTCTAGAGAGTCTGGCCTCTCCTCCCCAGCTCATGTGCTGGTGCACAGGGAGCAAGAAGAAGAGGGGGCTGGGGACTTGGACCCACAAGAGGCTTTGGGGACCAATAGGGATTCCTAATGCAGTGGAAAGGCCTCTTCCTCTACATTCATCAGCGTAGTTGGGTGGGGGCGAGGATCACTTAGTAAGAGCTTTCCTTGCTTCAATAAAGTTACTACTGGTGATATCAGATGCCCACGGAGTATGTGAGAATTCCTGTGTCTTGATGCTTTAAGATCCTTCCTCCACTTCCTTCTGAAATGAACCCTGTGTGAGCAGGGCAGAAAGAAATGGCTTGCTCTGGGCTTCCAGATATTTTTGGGCTTAGAATTCTACTTTGGGATTCCTCAGATCTTTGATGGAAAAGAGCTCTGGACTAGGAGGCGGGAGGCCTGGGAAGCAAGAGGTTTGGCTGCAATACTACCTATCTGACCTTGAACAAGTTAAGTCCCTCTTGGCCTTGTATTCCTCATCAGACAAATAGCGCTGAGAATTCCATCTGTCCCTTTTCCTGCCTTCCTGGGTGCTGTGAGGACCCTCTGGCTGTTAAAGCTTCTGAGTTTGCAAGATAAAGTGTGTGATGGGGGTCTGACAGGAGACCATGTCTCAGAGTGACCAGAAAGTTACTCTTTTTATTTCCTCAGTCCCTGAGCCCGGCAAGGGCAGATGGTCCAGTCTCATGGAATAAACCAATCATATAATTCCATGTCTCCATGCTGCGACACCATTTAATTGAGGCGCCATCATAGTATTTCCCTTGCTTGTCCAAGGAAGTCCCCACCAGATAGTGTGCTTCCCTCAACCCTGCAATGGCCTAAGGTCTCCCCACACCCTTTTGGAATATGGCTGCTGGAGGTGGGTCCAGAACCATGGTCTTGCTTCTCAAGGCTATTTGAAGCCCCCTTCTTCATATGAAGGTCACCAGTTCCCAGGATTCCTAAGTGGCAGGTGTTGGACTTTCAGGACCCAGCTCTTGAGAACTGGAACCTCCCAGGAGCCAAGAGTGGGATTTTCTAGGAAAGTAGAAAAGTTCCCCTTGGAAGGAGACTCTGGCTGCTCTACTTCTGGAAAAAGAAAAGAAAGTGAGGGGGCCAGCAGTCCCAGGAAGAGTTGAAGCAGCTGAGAGGTGGCAGGAGAGCGACTTACCTGGTCCAGGCACACATCGCCGCCTCTTCTCCCCTGCAACAGACAGCAGGTGAGACAGACTCACACCCCAAATGTCCTACCCACCAGGCCTTGCCAAGGCCATTTCCCCACTGAATCCATCTTTTCCTTCACTTAAAGGCAAACTTCTGATTTTTCTTCCTTCTCCTTCTCCCAGGAAATCCTTCTAGATTGCCTATCCACCTCTGCTCCCATCACACCCAGTCACTCTTCCATTCTGTCCCTGCCTCAGCACTTGGGAATAGCATATTTGTGTCCTGTCAACCCCATCAAGCCTGGGGCCTCTGAGATCTGAAACAGTACTCCTGTCTTTTTTCCTTTGTGTGATAACCTCCCTAACCAAGTTCCTTTGGTCTGTCAGACTATAGAGTAGAACCTTTGTTGCTGGGGATTGAACCCTGAACCTCATGAATGCTAGGGCAAATGCTCTACTACATAGTCATATCCCCAGCAGCAGATGACATGTAGAATCATCTGAAAATGTTCACAGATCTAGAAAACATGGCCCTGGCAGAACCTGAGTCTCAGAACTCCAGCTGAATTTTAGCCTCCAATTTTCATCAAGTGAAACCAAGCGGGTCTCCTGAAGGCTCTGGGAACTGTGTTAAGGACATACTGGCTTTTTTCACCCACCCTGCCAGTCCTGCATCCCCCATGCACAGCTCACCACCCAAAAATGCGCAGTTAAAGTGGCTGCAGGTCCGATTATAGCTCCAGAGAGTCACTAGGTTCCGGGGTCCATCCTGGGAGAACCCAGTGACCAAGAAGACTTCATGGGGGGGAATCAGCACCTCACGTTCTTCAGGGAAGACAGACAGGGCCTGAATACGAGCCCCAAAACAAGTCCTTAGAGAGAAGAAGGTGGCATTACCAAACCTGCGGGCTACTGCCTCATCCAGGGAACTGGAGGCAAACTGGCCTAAGCGGACAGAGTCTCCCAACCTCTTGGGTTCAAACCGAAGGCTGCCCACGCCTCTAAACACCACCTCCCCAGATCCTCTACTGCAGCCTCCATGGCTCCGCAGAAGCTGCAGGGCTCTGGTTAGGTAGAAATGCAGGGCTTTGAAGGGGAAGTGTCTCATGTAGTATTCGCGGGAGACACCGCCCATCCGCACGGCCTGATTCAGCTCCCAGTACAAAGTATTAGATGAGTTGGTGTAGACCATAATGGCTATTCCATGCTGGGCTTTGAAGCCAAGGGGCAGAGTGAGCCCTTGACGACGATGTTCCCAGGCCTTCTGGGCTGCCTCCCAAGATTCCCGCAGCAGGGTGTGATGAGCCATCTCCTCCTTTAGCAGGAGGGCTGCCTTCTCCTCCATCTCCTCTAAGCAACCCACATAGGCATCATCGAAGGTGTCTGGAGCCAGGCCCAGGGGCAGAATAGGAACAGCATAGGCCTATGGACATAAGGAGTCACACAGGAAAGAGTATTTCAGAACTCTGGACAAAGAGCCTAGTGGCAGGAGAGTTCAGAAACACAGTGTAAATAACACACAGCACTTGAGTCAGATAGACATGGGTCCAAACACCACCTAATAGCTGTGGGATCTTGGGGAAGTCTCAACTTTTCTGGGATTCAGGTTCTGTGACTATAAACTGAGGATATTTCCAACCTCACAGGGTTGTTGTGAGGACAGCATAAAGATCACTTCAGCATAACCTAAAAAGGGGTCATCTTGTCATTGGAAAGTTTCCTGCATTCAGCAGGAGTTAAGGCTGGATGACCCCTGGCACTTTTCTGGCTCTAAGATTCAGTATGCAGGTGATGAACATGCAGTCCACATGCAATTACCTGATCCTGTCCCCATCCTCCTCAGACTCTTCCCACTCATCTTTCTGGAAGCCCTTGGAGCCCTCAGACACCACACCAAATCATTGTCAACTTTGAGATTCCTGAGTTCTCTCCTTTAGAGAGAGGACTTTAGAAGCCTTTATCCCAAATTTGGGGGTGGTGTGAGGAGGTCAAGCCCTGGTCAAGGAGGGGGTATGGGGACAGAAGGGCACAGGTGGAGTTTCCAGAGGCTGAACATGGTGGGATGTGAGAAGTGAGGAAGAGAAAGTTGGGAAGGATGACACGAAGGAGGGAGGATCACATGGAGAGCTATGGGGGTGGATGGGGATTCTTGGAAAGGGGATGGGAACCTGGGATTCTCTTCAGGGATGAAAGTTCCCGAGAGGAAGAGGACTGAGAGGTGAGGAATCCTAGGGAAAAGTCCCTGGAAGACAATTTTGAGGAGACATCCCTCAAACCACCTCCTCGGGGTCTGCCCCCAACTTCCCCCTTTGTGGCAAGGAATGGTTCCTCAGAGTTACCTGCCGGAAGAGGGTATTGAAGCCCAGGTAGCGGAGGGTGATCAGCAGAGCCACCAGCATCATGCCGGGGCCAGATGAGGCTCACGGCGTTGGAGTCCTGGCTTCGATGGACTCCAGCACTCTTCCTCTCTCGCAGCGTGAGGGGTCCCTTGGTTGGACTGGGGTCCAGGTGGGACGAGGGCGGGGCCAAGGGCGGGCCTAAGGGTCAGCGGAGGCCTTGAATTTTACAGTCCCCTGCACACCCCTGAGTGTCTGCTCCCCAGACTACCAGACGCCCCCACACTCAGTATCTCCAGTCTTGTGGCTTTTTTTTGGCTAAGCAAGAACTCCCCCACTGAGCCGCATCCCTTGACCCCCCCCCCCGCCTTCTTTTTTTGAGACATCGAAGATGGGGCGATCATAGGGCTCCGCCTGAAGAAGTGAGGAAGGGTTGGGGAACCCAGGACCCACCTGGAGGTTGTGGAGGCAGAAAGCGGGAAGGAACCCAGAAGGGGCTAAAGTTCCTGCGGGCGCAGCGCTGTCCCCCGACTGCTAAACAAAGTCTCTGCGGCTAACTATAGCCCCAGCTGTAACCCGACACCTGTCTTCTGCAACTACAGACCCGGCGTGGGCAGGGTAAGGGGCTGAGGACGAAACTGCCTTGCCCAGAGCCTGCAGGTTCTTTCTCCAGGACCCTCTTTGGCCCCGAGCAAGGCCAGGGCTGGGGGAGGAACTTGTGAGATTCGGCCTCCCCATCCAGGGTGCCCTGACCCAGCCAGGCCCGGCCCCCAGACCAGGAAGAGGGTCGCCCCGCTAGGGTCCCTGGTTGCTAAGAAGTGGTGACTTGAGCACTCGCTAGTTTGCATACAATTTGCATATGACCCACGCGTTGGTCACGTGTTCCAGTCTCAGACTCAGGTGACCCCGTGTTTGTAAACACTAGCTTTCCCTTCCACCCTCTGTAAGCTTGACTATAAATAACCTGGCTCTGAGTTTTGGATGCCCAAGTAGAGGTAATGAGAGAAGGGGCCAGCTGACTTATCAGTAAATGGCTCAGGGAAGAGCTTTCTGACAGCCTGAACATGGAGGAGAGAGTGGGGGTCCTGAACATCAAAATTTAAGAGATGTCACCTGATGGGGCTGGATTAGGCATGGGAAGTTAGATCTACACAAAGGTCTCTATCCTGATCTTGTTTTACTAATTTGTCCCATCCCTGCCCTGCTCCAACCCTTCAGATTGTCCACCAAATAAAGAGTTTCCTTCACCTGAATCCTTTTTACTCCCCAAACCCTTCCTAAAAACCAAAGAAGATAACAAAATGTGTCCAGGTATGGGGCAGGTAGAGAGGGAGATGGAAACAGTGGCATCTTCCCAGACAGAATGCCTGATAGGGAAATAGCTTCAAGAAAAGTTCTTTTGCTCCTTTCCAATGAGACTAGCCACCTGAGGCCCTCCTAGGTTAGAGAATCAGGAGGCAGTCTATCATTTACCATAATTGTGAAAAATAGCACCTTGCCTACATATCTTACCTGCCCCTCTGCCTGGAGGGACATGAGTGTTTGCAGTTGCAGGGACAGAGGATAGAGTGGGGACAGCTTGGCCTACTGGAACAGCCCCCAAGGACCAGACTTACTGAAATCATTGCATTGTTCTCTCTCCACCCTCTGGCTTTGAGGAACTGCTTCTCCCATCCTAGGACCTAAAATCCCCACAAGTACTCAAGTGATGGACAGGGGTGCTGAGTGGGGTAGAAAGTCCTTCCGGATCACATGGCAAATCAGAGTTGGAGCTGGGACCTAGAACCCAACCTCCTTATGCTGAATCTCTCCTTCCACCTCAGATGAGTCGATATTCACAAGAAAGGAATAAAATGCAAAGAGAAGCCTTCTGAAGCCAGGGTTATTGAAGCCACCCTCTCTTTTTCCTTCTTGGTGAGCAGGGCATAGGACCAAACCCAATGAAGAGGTAGTTTTCCCAGGCAATATCCTCCATGCCTCAGCCGACCTTCCATCTGGCTTTAGGGATTCTTTTTTTCTTGGGCAGAGCACTGGGTCCATCAGACTGGGCAGAGAGACTTGTGTTCCTGAGCCTTGAGGAGACATCCAGAAATAGAAGGGGGAGTGTCACATTTCTGAGCAGCTGTGTGTGGGAGGTACAAGGGGTGGGGAATTGACAGTATAAAGGAGAAATCTGTCCTCCCCTCCCCTGGTGACCATCACGGGAGACCACCAACAGCTTCCCCACCCTGGAAAAGGCCTAGGTAAGGGACAACCCACACTCCTCCAGGTTGTGAGGCAGGGAAACTTTTTTGAAGTGAGATTTGGGGGATTAATGGAACTTTTAGGAATCATAAGGAAAAGTTTTAGGGAACACTTGATAAAGAGGTTTGGGATACTGAGGAAGGTTTGGGGTCATAGGGAAATTTGGGATTCCTGGGGAGAGGTATATACTCACATTTCCAGAAGGGAACGTTCAAGCTGGAAAAGAAGAAACTAACAAGAGAATTGCTATGAACAGGATGAAAGGAAGGACAGAGGAAGGGCAGCTCCCTTGACTGAAGAGAGATTGCCCACTATTTCCACTTCCTCACTTCCCCATTATCCCTAATCCCTCTGACCTCTGTCCCATCTCCCCCTGAAACTTGTCACCAAGGTCAGCCATCTACCTGCTCTTCAGTGTTCTACCTTCTTAGCTGTGCCCCAAAAGCCTCTCCGACTCTCAGTAATCCTTCTGGGGGGGGGGGGGTCTCATCTTCTGGGTTGCCTGGCCTTGGGCTGAGGTCAAGCCTGGTCTCTGTCCAAAGTAACTCATGGGCCAGGAGGGGAGAAAGGCATACATGAGGGCAGCTCTGTATGCTTAGGGCAGTGACAGAGGACAGCATAGTATCATGGAAGGGGGAGGGGTAGAGGAGTCAGTGGGCTTCCTGAAGGAGGTAGCTCTGGGCTAAGCCTTGAAAAGTGAATAGCCAGGAGCAGGGTGTCCCAGGGAGAGGGGAAACAGCTGGGCCTGTTTGGAACTTGGTTCTGTACTGCAGAAGCCAAGCAGAGGTGGAGGGGAATGGGACTAAGGAGGTACAAAGGGCCTCAAAGGCCAGAATACAGGGGCTGAGGATTTAACTCAGTTGGTAGAGTGCTTACTTTGCATGCATGCACAAGGCCCTGGGTTCATGGGCCACCAAAAAAATTTTTTTTTTAAGTCTGGGGTATAGAGATTGGACTTTATCCTGAGGGTGTGAAGGGATGTTTTATTTTCTTTTGCAAGACATGTTCTCATCTCTACTGCCATAATTGTCATCTCTGCAGCCATAATTGTCATCTCTGCATTTTTACTCTAATTTTTTTTTGGGGGGGGGCACGCATAGGGCCTTGTGCATGCAAGGCAAACACTCTACCAACTTAGCTATATCCCTAGCCCTTTACTCTGCTTTTTTTTTTTTTGAGATATTTCTTCCAGTCAGTTTTGGGACAGAGGGTTTTTAAGCAGATTAGGAAGATGACTAGAGCTTCAGCCACAATGAATGTAAAATAGCATCATAGGAAGATCGTTCTTCCTTCTTGTTCTTTTCTCCAAGTCTCTCTTGTTATCCAGTTGTAACTTATTAATGGTCAGGACCTGAGGTCGAGTTACCATGAAGTTGGAGTATGAGAACTCTTCATCTGCACTGTTCCCTGCTTCATGATAATCTAACAGGGGTGAAAGAGGAGGTAGGGAGGTCTCCAAGGAGGCAAGTGCAGACCTGACTGTGGGGTGAGAGGGGATGAGCAAAGGGAATGAGAATCCAGGAGGGGTCCATATTGTGCCCAGCATTAGTTGGTAACTACACTTTTTGGTTTTGTTTTACAATGTGTGGGTTATAATCCAGGGCCTCCCTCATACCAGGCAAGCACTCTACCACTGAGCAACATCCCCAGCCCTTTTTAAAAAATTTTGAGACACAATCTTGCTGACTGGCCTTGACCTTGTGATTCTCCTGTCTCCTGAGTAGTTAGGATTACAGGGATGTACCACCACACCTGGCTCAATGTCTCTTATCATCATTCAGCTACCTCTTGGACATCTTCCCTTGGAGAATTTGCATTTACAAACTGAAATCACCATATCCCCTCCAAACCAATCATTCATTCAATGCATTTTTAGTGAGACTCTCTTGTGTTCTGGGACTGCAAAGAGCAAAATGGGCCTTTAAAATCTATTCAGTACAAGATAGTGCCCATAGTTAACAATTGGATACTAGGCACTTAAAAATTTGTAAAGAGGTTAGATCTAACATTAAGTGTTCTTGCCACACATACACACACAAAAAAAAACAAAGCAAAACAAAAGAAATAAATAAAATAAAAGCAAAGGAATACAAAAAAATTTTTTGAGGTGATAGATATGTTTAATATTTTGATTGGGGTGATGGTATGAGCATAACATTTCCAAACCATATCCCAAATTAATATTCACTTAATTAAAATGAAAAAAAATAAAAAGAGATCAATAATATCCAGCATTGGCAAAAACATGGAAAAAAGAGCACTTTCCACCTTTTTTAAAAAATATTTTTTTTTTAGTTATAGATGGACACAAAACCTTTATTTTATTTGTTTATTTTTTTATGTTCTGGGGATTGAACCCAGTGGCTCATGCAAGGCAAGCACTCTACCACTGAGTCACAACCCTGGCCCTCACCTTCATTTCTGATGGGGACAAAATGGTACCTTTTTGGATGACAGTTTGGCAGTGCCTGTCAAAATTAAAGACATTCATGTTCTTTAAATATCATTCTACTTCTTGAAATAATTCCTATAAAAACATGCACACAAATAGACAAGAATTTATATATATGAATGTTCACTATAAGTGATGCATAATATTTTAAAATTAGGAAAAATACTTAAGTATCTATCATATGATTTAACTATACCATGAAATACACCATGCTGTCATTATAATGAACAAGGTAGATATGTATATACTGACATGGAAGGAAATCCATAATATATTGTTTCTTGGCGCCAGTGGGGTGGGAGGTAATAGGATGTGCATATGTAAGCATGTTTCCTTTCTGAAAAAATGACAATAAAAACCAGAACAAGGG